TGATTTCGTTGTGTGGCTAGAAGAGAGAGAGAGAGAGAGCTAATTTTTTTTAGCTTTTTTTACTAAAAATTATTCAAACAATCCTTAATTTTACGATTAATTTTAATACCATTCAATATTTAACAGCAACTAATCCATGACGACAGGCATTAATCGTAATCCCAATCGTAAACTCATTCAATGAAACGATAATCTAATCACACAATCAAACGCTGATAACAAAGTATTAACAAAATAGTTAATCAACGAAATTTAATATTGACATAAAATGTTTAGTAATAATAATAATCTTTATTTAGTTTATATATATTTTCTCAAAAAATTATAATACAATTCATTCGTGATTTCAATTAATCAATTAATTTACTAAATTTGAAAATTACTTAATTTAAAAATAATGATTATATAATCAGAATTTTATAATCAATAATAATTATAATGATGTCTCATATACTGTATAAATCTATTAAAAAATCTGCTCTCAAATAACTGTCAATTAATAGTTATAACTCATAATTAATAATTAGTCCATAACTATAATAATAGTAATATTTAAAAAATGTGTCGACAATTTGTACTCCAGAAGCGATCACTGATTATCTCGTTTGACGGGACTCTTGGCGGGCGAGGCTCTGACCGCGTTATGCGTTGACTTAATCCTAATCTTGTGGGCGTTGGGCGTGAAGTGGCCGTGTCTTTGCTGGTGGACCTTCAGATTGCCCGCCTGTGACGCCGAGAACGTACACTTGTTAAACTGGCATTTGAACGGCCGCTCGCCTGCAACACAAAGTGGTTAATCATTCACTAGTCATACAAACAAAGCTTCATTAGACTTGTAAGGCAGGGGTTGACCACTAATTAGAGGCCCACCGGTGCCGTACACTCACCCGTATGCACTCTATAGTGTCTCTCGACGTTTTGCTTATAACTGGATATGAATACACAGTCTTTCCAATTGCACCGGAATTTGTCGCCAAACTTTTGAGACGTCTTAAAGCCTATAACCCAATTCAATTCAATACATCATTAAAACACACAAATCAATGCAAACAACAAAACAAAACAAAAAACCTCTTTTATCGGACTTCCGGTGCCTTTTCATGGGAGACGACATCATAAGCCGTGGCGCGCCGTTACCGCCGTTGGGAAACGTCTTGCGGGCGCCCTTTGGCAGCGTTCGCGTCGGTATAAACTCGGTGTCCGTCACGTCGAGGTAGTCTTCGCCGGCGCCGTTCGGATCCCTATCGTCCTCCTCTTCGCCGTCGGTGTTAATCATCATCTCGTCGTCCATATCGAGGTCTATGAGGTCCAGTTCGGGCATCTCTTGGCTGTCCTCGTCCTCATACATGAGCGCCTCGTCATCCGTGTCATCACTCGTGACCGGTATGTCCTCATTGGACGAGCCGTTGCCGTCGGCCGCAGAGTGCGAGGCCGATGAGGTCTGTGCCAACTCTAACGGCTAGTCATATATGAAAAGTAAAATAATTTTTCTATAATTAATATAAAAAGTTAATAAAAACAGTAAATTAAAACTTTTTCTCTCAAAAAAACTAATTAACAAAAACTTTTAATCACAACAAAACTCAGGGAAAACGACAGCCAATAGACAGGAAAACATAGATTTTGCCCCAAAACTGCCCCCCAATAAAGGGGGACAATAAAAAACACTACAACAATATAAAGGGCACAAAATTAGGGCAACAAAAGCAGAGCTCAAGATTACATAACAATATCGTAGACAAGTGTTGTGTGAATGCTATGTTGATGTCGTGTATGTGTCATCACTTTTTGATTTGGTAAAGGTGGTACATTATACTTTCACGTGAAAAAAAATTAACGTTGTGTTAGCGTGTGTAACATTGATAATATATGCAATAGCAATTCAATCATCATGATAATACTGACATCAAATTAACCATCACTTCTATGGCGAGAGGGAGGGGTAGAAGGGGACAGACATGACAAAAACAAATGGGCACATGAATGAAAGCACGTGATAAAAGTAGGCAAATAACAGCACCAAATGAAAGCACAAAATAAATACCACTAAAAGCCCTAAATATGTCACCAAAATTAAGCGCAACAAAAACAGTGACAACAAAAATAAAGTGCTGAGTGAACANGAAGGGGACAGACATGACAAAAACAAATGGGCACATGAATGAAAGCACGTGATAAAAGTAGGCAAATAACAGCACCAAATGAAAGCACAAAATAAATACCACTAAAAGCCCTAAATATGTCACCAAAATTAAGCGCAACAAAAACAGTGACAACAAAAATAAAGTGCTGAGTGAACACAAAACGAGAAAAACAATCTGGATCAAATCATAATCTTCACACATTTCACTTATTTATACCTTGTTTACGGCGGAAGTGGTGGCCGACATCGTGTCGACCAGTCTTTTACTATTATCACTGCCGTTGGCGGCGACGGCACTGCCATTGGTTGCTGTGGAGGGTCTGGCCTTACGAGGAGTGGAGGCGACGGCGGCGGCGGGTGTGGCGGCAGTACTGGCCGTACGTTTGCACCACTCGTACTCGGTTTGCAAGCGTTTGCAAACATTCACACAATTGTTAATATCGGCGCGGATTTGACTGTAGGAAAAGCCGGTGGACTGACCGCCAGTGCCGCCGGACTGGCCATCGTGTGTGAGCTCAACGAGCAAAGTGTTAAGTTTGCCGATATAGTCATTTTGGGCGGCCTTCACCATCTCGAGCACCTTGCTCAATTGACGCTCGTTGAACAATTGCCGCTTGATTAACAGTTCATTCTGCGTGAGCTTGGTGTTTTCGTTCTCGAGCTGAGCGTTTCGCAATAAAAGCAATTTCACCTCGCTCTTTAACATTTCCATCTTGCACTTCTATTTATGATGATTGCTTATATCGAGTGTACGCAATACCGACAGTCGACTGTACTGTATATAAGCGTATAGAAGAGGCCGTATATATACGGTATGGTATATATGGTATGAATACAGTACACACACAGCACACACCCAACAGACGTATGCTTCACAACACATACACAACGTTTGTGAACGAGTTTTTAGCACAAAATTTTGCAGTTAATAGCGATTTTATATTGAGTGCAGAAAATTACTTCTTTCGCCAAACAGACCGCTTGTGCGGCGATTATTGGCCACCGATTGGCCGCCACTTCACGCCATACCTAATCGGGTGAGTGTTAAGCGAGTGTTGGGTCGTAAGCATCGGTCGAGTCGGGCGGCGATCGGCGTCGAGAAGACACGGCTCACAGGAAAATAGCAAATCTTCGCACAAAACGATCGTAAGATTTGTTTACTTTTTATTTTTCTCTCGCATTCAATGCTTTTCACACACACTCTATGCCTCTCCTAATGCCCTAACGCTATGGCCTGTAATGCTTTCCCTATGCTTTTGCCCAACAGTACAACAATTACGTCCATTTAGTCATTTCATTGCCTCATTTTGTTGAAGCTTTCACTCACTCTATCAGTGCTCAGCACTTAAAGCACCCCCTCTTCCCCCCACGTATACTCTCTCTCACTCCCTCTCCCAGCGCTCTCCCATACACTCCCGCCACCACTCCTGTCATCGGCCCATCCCTGGCCTCTATGATAGCGCTTGTATACTGTGTTAATAAAGCCATTCATTATCTAACTGTTTATTTAATAAACGCTTTAAAAGTATTTGCAAACACTTTATGACTATTTCTCTCTCTTCTCTATTATGACACTAATAATAAAGTCACTGATAATTAACACCACTTTTTAATTAAACTAATAATTATTTTTTTGTAATTAATTTTTGCAACTGTTTTACAATAACTTTTTTGTCTGTTTGAAAGCTTTTCATTAACTTATAGTTAGCGTAACGTTGTTTGTGTGTATATATGCGGCACGTTATACCCCGGGTCCTGTTTGGCCGGTGCCCGTTGGCCACCAAAGTGTGCCTTAAGTACGGCTTATATTTGGTTTAAGTTACTCTAAAAGTTACACTAAAATAAGTGCTTTTGTTTGAGTGAGAAGATCTATTTGTTGTTGCCCTTGATCATTTTTGCCCCATTCCCGCAGCAAACCGATGGCCAAAATGTCCACAAAATGTTTTCGCGCCGATCGGCTGAACGCCGTGGAGACCAACGTGTGGGTGGAGTTCATAGAGTTGGCGCGACAGTACCCGTGCCTTAAT